GATGAGTGGTACCTGCAAGGATGCTGTCAACGATCCACCTGCCAATGGCCCACCATGTTCTTCCCAGAGGTTCACGACGAAATCATCAGGGCTGTGTTTCCCAAAAGCATCGTAAGCCCAAGTTGATCGTAGCCCCATTAGTTTCAATGGGTCTACAATGTATTTAAGTTTACAATGCTTTTGGGAAACACAGCCCAGGACATGGCACGCACCCTACTTAGGCAGGTGTTCATTCCTCCACTTCTGCTGCTCTCACCACTGTTGACAGCTCTGTAGAAAGAGGTTATTGCAAGCTTCGCCACACATCTCTGCCTTCCATCAGCCCTGGGATTGAAGGTCCATGCAGCACACCCATCTAAGCCATGTAGGGCTACCTCCGCTCTGGAAGGCAGGGCTTATTCAGTGGCTGGCTAGGCTGGCTCAGCACTTCACACGATGGCGTTGATCCAAGTTTTTCAGGCCAAACTTCTCCACACCATGGACGAGTCTAGCCACGAGTCTAGACATGCCACCTTTGGCTAAACCTAACAGAGATCAAGGATTCTGACAAGATCGCCTTCCTCGATTCCACAGCTCTCCCAAGGGATCTGGCCCTGCCGTGGATGTTTTTGCTGAGGGATTTACGGCAGCACAGAAGTCATTGCAGGGCATGCTTCACTTCCTGCTGAAATGCTCCAGTTCGGCGGCTGGTACAAGTCGCCACAAGGCTTCAGCCTAAATCTGAGCCTGGGCTTCAGCAGCACCCTCTGGCATCTAGACACTAGCCGTTTACTAAGCACCAAGGTCCCCGCCCTAGAGTTGTGCTGGACCCTGAGCCTCAGAAGCCATCCTGATCCAAACACACAGAGGAAGAGGAGACGGTAAATTCCCGCCGAGGCTGGACTACCCACAAAGAAGTCTCACACTTGCTCTCCATTCCCCCACTTAGTTCTGGCCGATGGAAGTTCTACTCAAGTTTAACCAACAAAGTTAACTCTGAATTAGAACAAATATATTCATAGCTAACTTCACCGCGATGGTTTTGAGGGCGCTGTAGTTGTTTTTTGAATTGAGGATAACAGAGCCTCTCATTAAGGCAGTTTGGGAGACTGGGTAATCATAGACCGCGATGGAGACTTCTAATGCCTGGGAGAGTTTGTTACCCTCCAGCAGGATGTTCTGTTTTGTTCCAGGTCTTATCTTTGCTGGAGCTAAAACATAAAACCTGAACCAGAACACACATATCCAAGAACACACAACATGTTCAGTTTCCATATTCAGAATTATTTTAAATTACTCTGTTTTTGTGCTGGAAGATGTAAAAATGTCAAGGTGGTCTATAAATGAATAAATAAATAAACTGCCTAAAACTCAATCATAATAATAATAATAAATAATTTAAAAATGTTTGTTTGAATAGCACATAAACCGTTAAGATAATAATAATAACTATTATTATTATTATCATTATACTATTATTATTATAAACTATAAAAAAAGCAATGCACAGCCTGAAATACTACTATTACTACTCCTAATAATAATAATAATAATAATAATAATAGATACAGGGAATACAGGACTCTCATGACTGTGTGTCAAGATTATTAAAATCTCTTAATAAAATCAAATAATTGGGCCTTGTTACAAGATTGGTTCAGGTCACCAAATGGTATATAACTTCAAGAAAAAAAAAGTAGTAATATTAATTATTTAAAAAATGTGTTTTAAAAAAAACCTTACCTTGAAAACTATGTTTGAAAACAACATATGAAATGATTAATGATTAAGATCTCACACCTGACGGTAATACTATTTAACTGAACTGACTGTCTGCCCTAAACTGTGTTTATCCTGTCATGACCACGGAGGTCATTCCCCTATTATCTACTATTTGGTATGTGTGGGCAGCATACACCTTCCCGGAAAACCCTGTCTGTCATGAATTCCCACCCAGCCTACCTCCTCCCACTTCCTCTCGTGAGTCATCTACTATCTTCTGCCCTGCTGCCGCTGCCGCTGCATCCTGCCAGTCCCTCAGTGTCTCCTCAGCTTAACATCTGTGGAATGGATTCGCTTCTAGACTATTCCGCCATATTGCACGTTGCAGTTTCTCTCATTCATAAGTATATGATTGAACCTTCTTTGTATTTCTATATACTTTGTTCCAACCTCCGAGACCCGGACTCTGCCTCATCCCGTCACGGCTCCACCATGGCTCACAGCTCCCTCCTCTCCGCCGTGGCCCATCAGTCCTCCAGGCTCCCTCGTCCCTCCGGCTCCGCCTTGGTCGCCGCCGTGGCCCATCAGTCCTCCAGGCTCCCTCGTCCCTCCGGCTCCGCACCTGCTGTCGCCTTGGGACTACTCTCCTTCTGCTTCACCTCCTCCCTCTGTCCGTCTGACCCTGTCAGGCTCCACCTTGGTCCTTTGTCGCTCCAACTCCACCACGGATTTCCAGATCCCCACCTGTGCCACGGTTGCCTGAGCCATTGGCTCCGCCTTGGCCCTCTGGATCCTCTGCGTTGTCCTAGCTTTACAACTCTCTCTGGGCTCCCTTATCACCGGCTTTGCCTCCGTCAGTCGGCCCCCTGGAGTCGTCAGCCCTTCCTCCATCATGGCTCCTCCCTACATCGGCTCCACCGTGGACCGCCTTTCTGGCTGTGGTCTGGGTCCCACCTGGTTCCTCCTGGTCCTGGCTCCTCCCTCCATCTGCTCCTCCCTGGCTTCTTCCTTCATCAGCTCCACCACATTGTACCAAAATGTTACTTTGTTTTATTTTTGTTAACTCATGGCCATGTTGTACCAATTTGTTTTGGGTATTTTTTGTTTGTTTCTTTTGTTTTTGTTAAATTGTGGCCACATTGTACTAATTTGTTTTGTCAATTTTGCTAAATCAAGGCCAAGTTGAACCAGTTTGTTTTGTTGTTTTAACTTTAAATTGTGGTCATGCTGTATTAATTTATTCCCTCATTTGAATTTATTTTGATGTTTTATTTTCATGAAATTGTGCCTATATTGTTTTATTTGTTTAGTTGTTTTATTTTCATGGCCATGTTGTACTAATTCATTCCATCGTTTTACTTTTGGGAACAAATGTTTCAGTTTTGTAACACTTTTTGATACACAGTACAATATGTCCTCAAGGTATTAGTTTGTTTTTACAAACATTCTGTTACAAATGTAGCATTAAATTACTGTCAGTTAGCATAATTTTGGTAGTCGTGTTTTTTTTTGTTTTTTTTAATGCATGTAAATGTGCCGTAGACTTAAAATCCACAGTTTTGCCATTAGTACTGTATGTTCAAAAACCAACATCTGTCTCAAGTCTGACAGCCGCTTTCTGTCATGTCCTTTGTGAAGCTTTTCAGCTCGCCGCATTTCACCTCCAGTGCGGATCCAGCCCCACATTCAGACTCGGACGGCCAGCGCTCGACCCATGTGTCCTTACCCAACGTATACACATACCTGAGAGAGAAAACAACACCGAATTATGAAATACGAACCATAATATGTACATTTTCTGTGCCTAACGCTACTCACTTGTTGGAAGTGCTCCCTGCATGCCAAACATCAGTGATGGGCCCAATGATCAGATAGTCCTGACCTTCGATCAAACCAAGTCCTGTCCTACAGCTTGCATGAGAGAGGAACATCCTCCGTTCCTTCTCGTTCAGGCCTTCCTCTGTCCCTACACAAACACAAATGGAGATCTATGAGCCAGTTTACTGGGTACGTGACTCTGACTCTAGCAGACATACCCTCTTTGATAACCTGCACAATCTCCATCTCATACTGGTCGTAGTGACTCTGGCTGACGCTGATCAGTTTGACCCTGTAGGCTGAAGAAAAGACATATTTATTGACGAGATGATGTGACATCTTTATGGCTTTCCCCCCAAAAAACACATTAATTTAACAGAAGAAACACACACCATGATGTAATCCATTGCACACAGCGGCCTTCCTGTGTTCTTTACTGAAAGACGAGGAGTCTTCCTTCATTACACAACAGTCACCTATGAAGGAAGGTTTATAACTGGTTAAAGGTAAGAAGTTGATTGAAAACACAAAATTAGTCCAGCTAAACTGACCCTGTGAGCAGCGGCACACATTGTCTTTGCAGATCTGATCAAGCTGCTCTTTGTCTTCTGGAGGAGAGTAGAACCTGCTACAGCGTTTATCTGAAACAACAGAGTCCGGAAACACAATAACAAACTAATATTAGCACTTGAAACTAACTAACCAGCAAATTAAACAAATATAACCTCAAGCAGCAATTAAGGAGCCAAGCACTAAGAAGGCAAGATTAATGGTTTATCACTTTTGACCAATAGGTGGCACGGTTACCAAATTGATGTGGTGTAGTCAGTGTGAGGTGGCAATGGCACACAGAAAGTTTGGTGTCAACATGTCAGATTTGCAGAGACACGCATCATTTGAGCAAATTTGTTGATGCGTTAAACAATAACAGTTTCGTATATTGACAAAAATCCATAACATTTTGCCAGCATGGTCGCAAGATGATCTGCATCAAATTTGGTGAAAATCAGATGGTCTAGGAGGAGTTCGAGTAGAGTTTCAAAAGTAGAGTTTCAACATAAATCAAAATGGCAGACAGGAAGATCGACTGACTACGGCAAAATTGATATCTATGTTCTCGGCAAGACCCAAAGAATATATTGAGATTTGAGACTAGTTTCATTACAATACGCTAATATATTCAAAAGTTCTTAGCATTTTTGCAAATTTTATTATAACTTTTGACCACAAGGTGGTGCTGAGCCTAAACTGTGCAGGTTGCCTCCGGTCATGGTTATTATAACGCACACCAATTTGGAGATATACTGTAGCACTTATGTCCATTTTTGTATGCTCTTCATGAAATTCATTCACACGTTATTCAAGAATGGTTTTACGAATCAACTTGAAATCCATAACTTTTTGCCAGCATTGTCTGAAGATGATCTGAGGCTATTTTGGTGAAAATCAGACAAAGTGTCTAGGACAAGTTCGAGCTATTAAAAATTGCGAAAAATTTTGACTATAGAAATTGACTCGACATGAGCAGTTATTAGCATAAACACGAGTGCAACTTTGATGTTTTTTCAGCAAAACTATAATACTTGAAACAAGAAACTAGTGAAAATGAAAATTAAATGAAAAGATTCCATTGCTGTATTAAATTTAGACCTGCTCATGTTACATCATATTTTATTATTACGCGTTTGTACAGCGTTGCTCATCATAACCAATCACACACGATTCTGTTGAGCTTAGGAATGAAGTGGCCAATCAGAAGCGGTCAGATTAGTCATCGCTGAATTTTGTTCAGACTGAAACTTAGGAATTTCCTCATCATAAGCAACAAAAGTGCAAATGTACGTATACGATAAAAGTAAGAGATTAATTTATCATACAAATTATAAGAGGAGTTATGAGTGCTTAAACACTAGCTAGACTGACTGTGCTCATTTAGAGTGCGTTCATTCACTGCATGATTCATTCTAATAAAATGCATTTAGAATGCTCCCTAAATTCAAGATATGGAATTCTATTGCTATTCAAGGCAGAAAATGTGTATATTTATATAATTTCATATAGTTCATCAATATCACACGAAGAGTGCTATTTTTTCGCAAAAATCACAAATGTGATATTGATTTATACAACAGTTCAATAAACAAGCAGTTAATATTAATAGACTTACGTTTTAGACACTATATTGCCTATTTTTGTTCTATTTTGCCAACAAAAAATGTATCCAAACACAGCCAAAGCACTGTTTTGCATCTCTGAGCAACATGACGGCGTTTCGTTCCTGAATGAATCAACCGTTTAAATTATTTGGTTCAATTGCAATGATTTAACAGTGACTTGCTGCCACCTACTGGCTTTTAATTTTTACTGTACTTTTAATTTCACATTTAAAGTACCTTAACGTTTTTTTAATATAATTTCAAATATCAGTATTCTACGCTTTATTATTAAAATATCAAAAACATTATTTATGCATTTGTAACTGCAGGTTAAATGCATTCATGTCCTATATTAAACAGTGTGTAAATACATCTAAATGCCTCTTCAGATGCAGCTTCTGTGTTTCCTCTGCATTGCAATGGTGAATTTTGTTGATAATGATTTTGTTATTCTAAATGTCTTATTATTCTAATTGACTTTATTGATTAAATATAAGAATTTGAACAAAAGATAATGCACACTTCTAGAAAAAAAGGCTTTATGAAGGTAAAAATGCCCATAAAGGGTAAAAATAATAATAATAAATAAACTTGTTGGAAAAGATTAATTTCTGTCACTGCTGTGAACTGACCACCATGCAGAATATGAAGAAAATTAGAAACTTTAGGAGTCAGCTGTCCATGGCAGTCCTGCAGCACAACACACTCAGCAAAATATTGCCTGATTATCGTTATCGATAAAATATCAAGATATAATTATTTGTCTATTATCGCACACCCCTAGGCTAGATATTTAATTCTTCTTTGCTTAGTGATTGTTTGGAACACATAATTCTCTGATCATCGTAAAATAAGCTTTTATCTTACAATTAGGTTTTCTCAATGATAACGAGGACAAGACAAAAAATATGAATCATATTTACATAAGGATTTATTTATTATTTGAAGGGGGCGTGGGGGGATCTGGTTAGGGGAACCAAGAGCTTTGACACAATTCGAACACTGCCGTCAAGCAGTCTTATCGTCCCGACACGTGAGTCTGAACGAGAATGCACGTGTTGGCGGTAATGCATAGTCGGACATTTAATCAATGTATCGATCCATATCGATGGATCATTACACCCCTAGTATGCCATAGACTCAATAGTGGAAGGAGGAGGAGGAAACGGAAGAAATGGAAAAAGAAGAATGCCAACTATTACAATATGTGCCTACGCACCTTCAGAGCTTGGCCCCTAAAGATAACTAGAGTTCATTTTACAAGAAAGTAGTATTTCATTCTTTCTTATTTTACAAAGGGAGTCCCTTAAAGGAGATCCTCATATTTAGGGGTCCATGGTACCAAAAAC